ACTAATTCCCCACATCAGAGTCCTGCAGTTAGGTTTGGTTTTGTAGCGCAAACTCTTCTATCTTTTGCATTTTATGTTGGATAGCAGTGTGTCTGTGCTGTTGTGATACCACAGGACAGGTGTGCAGCTGCTTCCAGAGCAGAAAGGTCTTCCACTCAACTGCTTTATCAGCGCGGAGGTTGTTCATTGGCTGGTTAACAACGTGGAGGGCGTGGCCACACAGGGGATGGCTGTCGATATCATGCAGGTAAGAGTCATGTGACCCAACCGTCCTTTAACCTGAGATCATAGAGAGATGTGAAGGAGAATTTGGATTTGGGGTCACTCATTTGACTGGTGAGAATACAGCAGCATCAGAAGAAGGAACAGAGCAAAAACCATGTTCACATAATTAGTTTATAACAATCAACCAGGTTAACTGAGGTACTCCAGTAAATACAACTTGATATTTTTATATGTAGTTCATGTGTAGATTCAGCAGTGAGACATAACATGTTGTTCAGTCTTTACACTAAGCTCAGCTAACTGGCCACTGGCTGTAAATACATATTTCTTGTATAGACATAACACTGGTATGCTCTCATCTAAATCTGAGCACGAAACTGAAACGTGTATTACCTCCATGTCAAACTATCGCTGCAAATAAAGCAACTGTAGTGTGGAGATAATTCCAACTCCAGCTTGTGAATGTAGCTGTTGGTTAATCCTAAAAGTCACGTACAAACACAACCTTCTCTTCTAAAATTCTTCATTCAAGTATTTCCATTGTCTGCTACTTTACACTTCCACTCTGCTACAGTGTGGAGGCAAAAAAAGGTCGTGTGTGCATCCTAACTTACAGTCCTGTTGTTTAAGCTGCTGGGTTGTTTATTTATTACAACACACTAGTTATTACGCTGTATACTTATTCTCATTTTCTTAGGAAAAGCACATTTTACACTTATGCCTATACTGTTTCTACTTATGTTTACATTTTCAGGTCATATTTTTCTACTTATGTTTATATATATAAGACTTTGAATGGGAGCAGCTGTAACCTAAGCAATATCCCCTCAGGGATCAATAAAGTATTTCTGAATCTGATTCTTGCATTTAGCAGTACACTGTGTTGTGTTTTGTGTTTGTGTAGAAAATGCTGGATGAAGGCTTGGTGGCCCACGCTTCAGGAGACGCCATGCGCATCTTCGTCTACGGCTTCTACTTCTACAGGATAGTAGGAGAGAAGGATGGTGAATGAACTTCAGATAGCCCAGCAGCCGAAGGAGCCAATGCTTTCATCTCTATATACAGTTTTGCACATGCATATCCATATAGTGACAGTATATTTAATGTCACATAATCAGAAACATTATGCTCATGCTGACGTCTCCTCTGCAGGCCTGACCTCTCAGCTCCCCACCACAGCGGCCGGAGGCTGGTCAGCTGCAGCCCTGGAGGACTTTGCGCTGTTCCAGAGGAAGTGGTTCGAGGTGGCCTTCGTGCTGGAGGAGCGACGACCGTGCGACCTCCCGGCCTTCCTCCTGCCCTGGCTGCCCAGCCGGCCGGCCTCCTACGCAAGTAGGCACAGCTCCTTCAGCCGCAGCTTTGGAGGACGCAGCCAGGCCGCCGCTCTGCTAGGTACACCCAGCCCGACGCTCCCAGCCAGCCCACACTGCAGAGGAGCACGTCCTCATCCAGCCTGATGCAGATCACAGCTGAGGCCACTTCAGGGGATCGTCTGCGTCTGTATTTCAGTGTCACACAGGGCAGAGAGGGTGCACTTAAAGGTTCTCGGTCAGGTTTAATAGGAACCATAAATTCAAAAAGAAATCCGATTTGGTCCTGCAGCTGCCTCTGTTGGTGATTTATGCGTTTGGTTTGCCCTGACCAGGATCTGCTCATCACATGACTCAGGAAGGTGTTGAGCTTCCTCAAGTGAACCCTCAAGCTTCCACACAACATTCCTGTGCATCTATGTGAGGCTCATTGTTGTTAGTTTGTATCCGTTTTCAACAAAATTACCTGGAATTTTTATGTGAAGGAGCAAACAACACACTGCATCGGTTTTCCAGTTACGAGGTTCATCTGGGAGCTGTTTGGAGCTGTAGGTTAGCAATAATGAGCCTGCTATCTGCACCAATACAGCACAAAGGATGGTGGAGGGTAAAAAGTGAAAGTAAAAAAGAAGGTTGAGAAAGTACATGTTTTAAAGAAAAACAGATGAAAAAGCAGAAGTAAAAACAAGCTCGATAAATGTAATATATTCTCAGCAAGTGCAAATGTTAAGTAGCCAAAATACTAAAATGACTAAACTTAAGAACACTGAACAAAATCTGTCTCAAATTTTCTTCTTTATCTTGAGATTCTCCAGCTGCGGTCAGCCTTTGCACTATATTTAGTACATTGATTTGATAAAAAAAAAAAAAAAGCTGCTATGACGAAACTAGCCAGCAAATATAATCTGAATTTTAGCAAATACATAAATAGCAGAACCATAAAACATGGAGCCTTAGTTATGAGATAAACTGTGTGCTTCTATAGTCCCTTGTGAAATTTGCAAGCTTAAATTTGACTGCAAGTTGCCAATGTTATTTTAGACAAAGTCAGGAGGTGGCATAGAGACAGATGAAAGTATATTTGTCAAGATTTTTTAGGTCAAATGTACAACATAAAAGATCATGTAAAATTTGAAGCTAGATTGTTTTTGTTGATCTTTTTCAGTTGAGTGTTTTGTGATTTGGATCTGTGACAAATTGTCGCCCCTTTATTCACTGTAGATTAATGTAAGGTGTAAAAGACGAAAAAAAAATCAGGGTGCTGGTGCTCCAAATTGTGCTTTTAACTCAGTTTTCTACTTTAAATATTCAGAATAAACTCCCAGATGAAGAACAGTTACCGTCTACAAACTGAACATTGAGCCCTTCATGTCCACAATCACCACAAAAGCATTACACGACTCACCATCCCAACTTCACTTACAATACATTCATCACTTTCCATCTTTTCATGACTTCATCTTTGTCCATCGTTGCCTGTGTGACACTCAGATGCAGGACTCGGCTCTCCTCGCAGCGGCCTGTCGATCTGCATCGAACAGCTGGTGGTGTGTTTGTTCAGTGCATGCAGAGTGTTTGTAGTTTATTCATCAGTCTGATGCGGCCACATCGCTGATTGATGTGATCAAATTCTTCCACCTCCACCGTTCAGTCAGTGCATGCTGTGTGGTTAGTGTGTAGCTGATCCAGCAGCAGCAGCAGTAGCAGTAGTAGTAGCAGTAGTGGTAGTGGTTGTGGTGGTAGTGGTGTGATGTTTCAGTGCATGCTGTGGTGTTAGTGGCTGTGGGTCAGTAGTGCTGTGGTGTGACACCTGCCGCTCTCCTCCTGATATTTCAGCGTAAAACACTTTCACAGCTCAGCAGGTTGTGACAGTGTTTCTGCTTCAGCTTGATTCTTGCTTCATGCAGCCATTCATCAGCTTTGACCTCAAGAGTGTCATCAAAATGCTTCCATCTTTAAAGTAACAGCTGTGCAATATGAATGCTTTTCCAGTTTGCTATCTGGCATCTGAACTGGTTTCCACGAATTATTATTCATGTCCTGCCGAAATTCTTCATTGGATACAGACTGCACCAAAAATAGTTCATGTTATTAGTTAGGAGGTAATTCACATACAGACAAAGCTGGTCATGTAGGAGCAAAGAACCGTGTAAATAGTTAGCCTACTTTATATAGAACTTTACAATAATGAATCCAAAATATATCAATGTAAAAATGTGTTACTTAAAGCAGAATAAATACAAATGGACACTATAATGCACATAAAAGTGAAATTCAGATAACAAATCAGTAAAAGCAGAGGGTGTAAGTACAAAATGATCACTAATTAACTTGATTGGTGGATTTAGGCGGTGTTACGCATCCAGTGACTTCAATGTGTTTAGTGCCGATTTTGAAATATAGAAAGCACACTGCCAAAGTTAGATATTAGATGCAACAATAGGTATTTTGGAGGAGCTATAGCCGTTCTACAGCTAGCTGTAGCTGTTCTCGGATCCATTAGAAATAACTTGAACCGTTGATTTGTATATGAATTTAAAACCGCAATATGATTTCTCTGTAACAAATTCTCGTTATTCATAACGTAAATCCATTTTATATGCCAACATTCACAGATATTAAGTAAAACTAACCTTCCAGCAAAACCATAAAACAGAAAATGTGTATTTAATGAGGTAGGTCAGTGTTAAAGGAAACACATTTCTTTATTTCTATGACTGCACATATAAAAAACAAAAAAACAAGGTTGCTGGATATGCTGTGTACTGTGTAATATAAACAGAAACTTTTTCATTGGTATCCCGTCATGTTGAAGTCCTAATTGTTAAAGTTTTGACCAAGATAGTAATTTCAAAACTAAAAAAAAACCTTAAAAACACTAAAAACAAAAATGCGGTGATAAATAAGCCAAATTAAAGAATTAAATTTGCATCATAAACAACTAGAAACCACAACACAAAGCCAGTATATATTAGGTATGCAAGAGATAAATGTCAAACCAAATCTAGTAAAATCTAGAATATTTAGTACTGAAGTATAAAATACATTTAATATGAACATTTCTAATTTCTTTTTATTTAATCATTTGTCCTTCATATTCCAGTAGTTATTTGACAGTTTTCTGTTGCTGAAGGGCTTTGCTCACTGGTGCCGACTGATACTGTCAATCTGTAAACTTTTTTTTTAAACTTTATTAAACCTGTTATTCTGTAGCTCCGATCTGAAGATCTTTAAAGAATCAATAAATGTCTCACCATCTCTTAGTCTGTGTTCTAAACTGAGCCTTTAATCCTCCGACCGGCTTCCCATCATGCCGTCCACCTCTCCTTCCTTTGCTTCCTGCCTCCCGTCATCCTGTCTGTCCACCTTCCCTCCCTCTGCCCGTCTGTCCATCCGTCCTCCAGCCGCTACAGTCCCAGAGCAGAAGACGGTCACGCTGGACGTGGACGTCAACAACCGCAGCGACCGAACAGAATGGTGCAGCTGTTATTACCACGGAAACTTCTCCCTCAACGCTGCCTTCGAGATCAAGCTGCACTGGATGGCTGTCACTGCTGCAGTGCTCTTTGAGATGGTAACCAGGCGTCCCACCCACACCTCAGCTTCTTCTGGTTAACGGTCAATATATCGCAGCTTCCACACATAAATTAAAACAATCCAGTCAACTTCTGTCATTCCAAGTTTCAACAGGTTCTTCCTTTATGAAGATCCAAAAGGAAAAAGGACGAAAAACTACGAAACAAAATTCTAGCAATATGAAGGACAGAATTTATAGAAGTGAGAGTTTTACAAGAAGAGAGAAAAGAATGCATGAAACATATTCAACCCATCTGCTAAATAGAGCATCATATCATCTGCACAGAAGGATACTTTACATTCAGCATCATTGATAATTATCCATTTAATGTTTGTTTTGCCTTTAGTATGGGATGCTTGAAGTTTAATGATTAATAAAAACAGCATTAGAAATGTTTTTTCTTTACTCTTTCTTGTTGCAGCTGTAAATGATCAGCAGACTGATCAATAAAGTCTTTATAAAACAAAGAAACTACATTGGACCTAAGTTGGAGCTTGTTTGCAGCTGAATTTACTGATTTATTTAAACCTTTATGCATTAATGTCCGTAAAGTTTGAAAGTTATAGGCATACACACTGCTGCCAAACATGCACACTGTTGCCTTTTTTGCACAGATATTATATAGTATTATGTTATTTTGATCAGTGATAGAGGACTTAACTACATGACATTTTCTCTGTGGGATATGAAAATTTAATGTGTCAACACTAGAAAGACCTCATGAGTCCAAGTTGAGGATCTTTATGTGACACTATCCAGACCCACACGGGAGGATTGTGACATTAGGTAACCAGAATGTTTGGTTGGTTGGTAAAAGAAAGTAACAGATCTACATGTTATTATCTGTCAGGTTCAAGGCTGGCACAGGAAAGCAGCCTCCTGTGGTTTCCTGTTGGTGCCTGTGCTGGAAGTTCCTTTCGCTCTGACGTCTTACCTGTACGGAGACCCACTGAGAGCCCAACTCTTCATCCCACTCAACATCCACTGTCTGCTCAAAAACAGCAACGACAACCTGTTTGAAGGTAAAGATGACCTTTGACTTAACTCTGACTTCATGTGTGTTTGTGTGCAGCAGCTCAGGCTGAACATCTTCCTGGTTGCATGTCACAAAACAGGTTTTGAACCAGAAACATACTGGGACAGGATGCAGCTGTTCCAGGAGGCCATACTCTACAGGTTGTTGCTTTGTTCTCTAAACTTCATCTTTATACGTGTATTTATGCCTCAGTCTTTAACATGTGATGGCACCATGTTATTATATTTTGTACAGTAATTATCACTCAAAACTGTTGAAAAAAAAAATATGTTTGTGCAACTTTTTTTTAACATTAAACTTTTCTTTGAGTAATAGTTGTTCAAAAGATAGTTTTCTGTGCTCAAAATGTCCAGTCACTCTATAGTCATCCTGAAATTTAGGGATTAAAGTGAAATACAGAATTCTATGTTCTGACCAGATGTCTTGTCTCTGTTGCTCTTTCTACCAGATTCGGCTTCGTGCACGACAAGTTTTCTGCTTCTACGTTTAACTTCCCGTCTGAGAACAAGCCTCAGTACATCCATGTAACAGGTTTGTCACACCACAGCATCAAACAGTGAAGCTGATGAATGTCATCGTGTTCTGTCCAAGTCCATATAGACACGTGTCACCATTCGTCCGCCATCTTGGTTACGCCTCTGGGCTGTTATTTTGGGCAGTTATTAGCTAAATTAAGAACTGTAACTGCAATTTTAGTGGTCAGTGGGACATTAGAACTGCACGTATAAAACCACCCATTAAACCTGATTTTAAAAAAAGCTGAAAAACTTTGATTCTGTGTCTTGCTTGGCAGCTCTGTTGCCATTGGTGTTTGAATGTGTGTGTGAATGGGTGAATGAGAAAACATTGTAAAGCGCTTTGAGTACCACCAAGGTAGAGCAGCGCTGGATAAGTGCAGACCATTTACCATTTACCATATAGGCAGTCATAGCAACTTGTTCCCAGTTCGACTGTTACAATGCAGGTGATTGGCTGTTTGATTGAGAGGGGCGGGGCATGTGTCAGGAAACCGCCATCTTTTTGTGTTACTGAACTCTCCCATCAGGATTATTTGTTGAGTCTCTCCCTGTCACAGCCTCTGGTTCTTTCTCCATCAGGCACCGTGTTCCTGCAGCTGCCGTACTCCAAGAGAAAGTACTCGAGCGGGCAGCAGCGCCGGCGCAGGAACTCCACCACCTCCAACAGCCAGGGTCCGTTCGGCGGCGAGGAGCGGGTCGGCTACTACTGGGCCTACAACACCATGCTGACCAAAGCCTGGAGGACCGGGGTGCTGGGCGACGAGAGGCTGGCCGACCGCCTGCTGCGAGACTTCACCGACTTCTGCGCCAACAAGGACAACAGACTGCTGAACTTCTGGGACAGCTGCCAGGAGAAAATGAACGCCAGCGCCCCCTGACAGGAGGAGGGGGGACTGCAGGAAAACTTGACGTAGAAGAAGAAGAGGAGAGAGAACTGTGAAAAGAGTATTTTTAACTTATTTTTGTCCCGCAACATGTTAAACAGTATTTATGCTCGTCTGAAGCACTGAGCTTGTTCAACTGGACTCTGTGAGGAGCAGATAGACACGATTCTAATTCCTGCTGTTGTATGAAACCCCAGAGCTGACTGAAGGCTGTAACAGCAACCGAACGCATCAGAAAGTTACATTTTTGGTTGAATAATTAAAAAGGAATGTATTGAAAGTGCAAATCTGTTTTCTTTCCTTTAACATCCAGTTATTTTGTTAAATAATTTCCAACTTAATTTATCTTACTCATTAGTTTTGTTGACTTGTTTGGTCTGGGCCTGCATTTAACCATTTATTTCATTTCCTGTTTTCACTACACAGTACGCTACACTTGATAAATCCAAATGACAACACAAACTGTGTAGAGAGGACATTGTTCTGTACGCTGATGTTGCTATTTTTGTCAACGGACACATGACATCGTCTTAGTCATATATGCCATGAGGCTAAATATCCACTGTCCTCGTGACCTTTGTGTCATTTTCAGTACAGGAGCTCTGGTTAGAGGTCATTCGGGGTCACATAAGTCTTTGTCGTGGTGCCTTTTGCTAGCGAACCCTCCACAATGCTCCCTGCTTGCCAACATGGAACTGAGAGTTGTACAAGTGACCGACTCCTCTGGTTGCTTCAGGATTAAACGGTAAGAACAACCAGGTACGACAGCTGATCTACACGACACTTTCTGACATGCATGTCCTTCAACTTCTGCCTTATCGGTTACTACATTATTCATCTGTTATGTTCCTAATGGCAATAATCAGCTAGCCGTTAATCATTAACCTCTCTACCTATGTTGTTCAGCACACACCCACGTAATGTTAGTCACTTTATTGTGGTTAATATTTAAATGTAAATCCATAACCTAGTTTCTAGAAGGTGAATGAGTATAGAAGGATATGAATGAATGAATGAATGAATGAATGAATGAATGAATGAATGGCCAACATATGAATAAATGATAAATATTAAGTTTAGAACTGCATTTGCTTTCACAGTATCACATTTTGACCGGTACCCATGATGATCATAAATAACAGGATTAAGTTAGCTGATCTGGGCTGATCAAATGTCTCATTCTCTAAGATCTCTAAGCATTCAATTACAAAACTGACATCTGCAAAAATGCTGCACAAGATAATCACAAGCAGTGGATGTCAACATTCCTGCTGCCAGTGCAGACAGGAAGGTAAAAGTCAAGAGTATTTCCTTGTTGCTAAAGGTGTAGAAAATCCATCATGTAATCCTGTAAATGGAACATTATCATGAACACACAAACACATCTCCAATGTGTCACCTCTTTAAACCCGTTTAATTCATCCCTTTATCACACACCGTCACAGAATCAAAGACAAAGTAAACACATAATGTCATAGTTGAGCTGTGAGATTCTCACAGTCAAAGCTTTGGTTGAACACAACAAAGCAATTCCCACCTGCTCCCTATTTACAGGCATGTTTCCCTTCTATTGGTATGTACACGTCCCATGAATACACGTTTTATAGCGTTGATCCCTTTAAAGTCTCTTAATATCAAATAGAGTTTAAGTTTCTTTTGATTATAAAAATATTTGCTGTATTTCCTTTGATTGTAAAGAGGTAAAAGCATGTATAAAGTACAATGATTCACGTAGAGAAATCTCTACATAACACCAAACTGTTCCTCCTTGAGAGAAAAACACCCAAATAGTGCGTCGTCCTAATAAAATCCACAACAATGAGGCACAAATCTTAGTAACAAGCGACGCTGTAAAGCTCCTCTGACTCAGAGACCAGATCTTACAAATAAGTGCTTCACGTCATTGATCGACTGCAAAAAGCTGAAGTAAGTCAAGAGTTGTTGTTCTTCTTTGTGCGTCACAGCGAGGCGTTTGTCGTTCTTCTCGCTGCTTCATGCGTCCACTGACAGTCCATGTGGCTGTGAATGTAGTGGCTTATTATTACTGTCACTGTGTGGAACGATCCTTTAATGACGACCTCCACACAGACAATAAGGAAAGATTGAAGTGCTAACTGCTGTTACCACACTGCAGTTCAACTGTTCCACAAATACTCTGGTTCCCTTCATTATCATCATATGTAGTCCCTTGTAAGAGGCTGCAGCAGGAGAGCGGTTCCCTTTACCATCCAGAACAGGTGCAGTCATGTGAGGTGTTAATCTACAGCCAGACTTTTCCTTCCTGCTCTGCAGTAACATCATCATCATCATTTTCCAGAGTTCTCAGCTGTACTGAGGTCATTTTTATCAGCTGATTCCTAATCACTGACTGATGACAAACATCCAGTCCTGTTAATAGTCTGACACCATCACCCTGGTTTACTCTCACGTCAAGGCTGCAGGTCTGTTCACGACTGTGCGCTGTTCATTTAATAATTCTTCATAGTAATGTCATTAAGCTTTTACTAACTCCATTGATGCTGTTTGGTTTCACTGTTTTGGGACGCCAGCGTGCTTTCTGGGGGCGGAGGTGCAACTCATGTGAACTGAAGTCATCAAACTAAGTTGTCATGTTCACATGTTGTGTTGCTACCAGCTGATTCATCCACACTGAGGAGGCACTAAACGTAGCAAAGAGGCTCCTGATGCTGCTCAGAGTCAACATGTAGCTTCAGAGCCGTTTGCGATGTTCAGCCAGATCATAGCAGCAAGTGTCTGCATTAAGGGTCGAACAAAAAGGTTGTTTTCAGGCTCAATAACAATACAGATCATTAGTAATCAGGGAGACCACTAAACCATGTTAGTGTTTTTGCAGTAAAAATGGAAATCAAGGTGTCAAATTTTTACCACAAACTTTGTTCAAATGTTTTGCTTTTGTTGAGGTTTTCAACGTGTTTAATTACAAGAAAATATTTCAGTGTTTCTCCTTCAGGATTGATTGGCTGTTACTGATCATGTGTACCTGATCAGGTAGCGCTGTGGGCGGCAGCTGCAGTGCCAAAGTAGTGCATTTTTAAATGGAGTGATTTTACTGGAAATAATTCGCAGCACTGATATTTGTAATTTGGCTGATAATCTGTTGTTCCACACTGAACATTAAATCTCTGCAGAAATCTGACAGCACCAGCAGCTGAGACACTGATTGAACAGTGTGTAGGAACATGGAAGGTAAATTATATGACAATACTTAAAGGACAATGTTCTGCCTGAAACACACTAACAGATCTCAGCAGATTGTAAAAAATGTTGGTTTTTGTTTGACAGATGGAGCAAAGCCGAAGAGTTTCAGTTTAGATTGAGCTGAAACTGAAAAATACTTGGCATTCCTGCTTAATGAATACTTAAATCATTCAGTTATGATTGTAGAGGCTGCACATAGGAACAGAACTACAACTGTGTCGTTCTATTTCTTTTCAGCGTGACCCTTGAATCTTTGCTGTTACCTTCTATCCCTCCGCCGACTGCTTTCATCACACGACATGAACAGACCGACCGGATCTTATTCTCAACATAGGAAGTCTGCAAGCCTCCATCTGTTTTGTGGTTTTCTCTTCTTTTGTTTGCATTTTGGTAGATTCCATAACAATCAAATGATAAAGGAGGTATTGTTCTCTTTTTGGAACGACCACATATGTTTTAGAAAATGATGCAAAAACAAGATCCAGGTTGCAAATGTCAGTAAAATAAGAAAAATTCCCTTCTCGGTTCCTCTGGTTTTACACCAGCAGATGAGCAGCCAGTCAGGAATCCGGCTGAGTCAGCGCTGCTTTTCCCTGAAAAACTCAAAATGAATCCTAAGAAGAAACAAAAGTGAAAGCTCCTCTGGGCGGCTCAGAGCGGAGTCTGTTGGGATGCAGCCGGTACAGGAAAAGTGAAAGGAGGAGATGCTGTTAGTTGACTCTGGCTGCATCTTCAGAGACGACTGCTGCATTACCTGGAAACACACACAGAGGAGCAGCGTTTAGGCAGATGTACACAACACACAGACACACAAACAGGCAGCGTAGGGTGTGTGTTTTTTTGTTTATTGGGGGGGACTCACGTAGTCGGATCTTGATGGGCCAGATGAGGATGGTGCAAAGAGCCAAAGCTGCGATGAAAGCGACGCCTCCCGTCACGATGACCATGACGTAATGATAGAACCACACACAGGCCGGACAGCAAACCACAGTACTGACAGACACACAGACAGCACAGTGGGCGTTACACAACACAAGTCATGTACAAACCAACCGTTTTATTTTATTCCCCGCGTTCTGACATTATTTAACCTGCAGTCCTGTACTTAAAGAGCGACTCTACAGATTATTATTATTATTATTATTATTATCAAGTGAATGTTAGTCTTTCACAGGATCTGGTGCAGACTATTTTTGACATATTTTAAAAATACGACGTGTAGAATTAATAAAATATTTTTGATCAGATATTATGATTTTCAGCTTCCGGCACATCAGATGATCAATGGTGTCATTTTGGTGATTTTTTTTAAAAAAACAACATGCCTTTGAAACCCAGCAGTGGGTTTTGGGATTCAGTGGGCTTCTTTATGAAAGAATGATCAAACAGTGAATCAGCTGTGATGTGTGTAGTCGTGTGTTTGTACTAACTGGCAGGGATGCAGGGCCTGAATGATCATCACAGCCGCTCCATTAGCCACCTTATCAGTGAAGCTCATGGCTCCGTACACAAACGCTCCGCTTTGCTGCAGACACACAAAGATGAAGATAAAGATGGCAGAAAAAGCGAAAGGGTCACTTCCTCCTTATCCCTCCCTGACAACACTTCTCACCGTCTGGTCACCGATGAGCTCGGCCGTCATGGAGAGCGATATGACCAGGATGGTGGCTGACCCGGCCCCCAGCAGCACCGCCGCCCCGTACACCTGCTGACCCATCTTGGCGTCCAGCAGCACCCAGTAGGAGAAGGCCATGATCAGCAGCAGGCCGACAAAGTAGGTGAGCTGAGCGAAGCGGAAGAGAAAACTCTGGTGAAATTCAGTGTAACAATCTGTTTTTTAAAAAAAAAAACACTTCCTCTTCTTAACAGTGTAGATACAGAATCAGAGCAAGAGGAAATCACATCCTGTTCTGAGAACACTGAAGCATTGTAGAACCCAAGAAAGCATGCTGAAGTGAAACAACACAGAACCAGTCTGTCGACTCTTTGGCTCTGCTGGTACTTTCCCTTCATTCATCTGTGGTTGTTTTGGTGCCACTTAGTGACAATGTAAATGGAACAAACAGAATATCGGCTATGTAAACTATCAGCTATGTAAAGGCCAATTCATGCTCTCTGTATACTTTTCTTTGGACTTTGTAGGTGCTTTGATTTGCAGAGGACTTCTGCATGCTTCTTACATGGACTTAAAATAAAACCAAACGTTGCTCCTTAACTGATCAGTGTGCAAATAAAGAAGTACGTCAAAGCTGTTTCACAACTTGTTTCCACTGCTTCTAAAGTGGTAAAAAAAGGGCAAATGTACACATGGTGTTTTTATATGCTACAAAAAAGTGAAATAAGCCGTCAACACCAGGGCTGAGCATGACGGCCCTGAAGCTGCAGAGCATTGATGACAGTCTTAAAAAATACGGATTCAGGAAACAGGGATTTAATGTGCAGCAAACCAAAGAATCAGAGGCGCGTTCTGTGTAATCTATGATACCATCTTATCTCGGTGGGAGGATTTCTGAGCTGAAACCAACAAATGTAAACAGTTTGCCTGTTGTTTGCAGAGTAACAGCTGAACCAAATGGAAGCTACAGTGTGTGGGACGTTTTAGAAAACCGAATGCCAAAGTGTGTTTAAAGAGATAGTTTTATTTAAATAAGATTACTTCCTACAGTGGCAGCTTGTGTGTCACGACTTCAGCCGTTCATAAAGTTTGTTTTTCTTTAAACTAGTGGCTCAGGCAGACCAGCTGGTTGACATTGCTAAACAACAGACACACCAAACAAAACTTTCACATGGCAGAGCTGAGCAGGGCGTAGCCAAGTGCCTTGGTGGAATATGAGGCCAGCTTTTCTTTTTTGTATGTCCGTCCATTATCTATACACCGCTTAATCCTCACTAGGGTCGTGGGGGGCTGGAGTCTATCCCAGCTGACTCAGGGTGAAGGCAGGGGACATCCTGGACAGGTCACCAGTCTATCACAGGGCTACACTTAGAGACAGACAAACAAGCACACTCACATTCACACCTACGGACAATTTAGAATCACCAATTAACCTCAACATGTTTTTGGACTGTGTGGGAGGAAGCCGGAGAACCCGGAGAGAACCCACGCTGCACGGGGAGAACATGGAGACTCCACACAGAAAGGTCCCGAACTGTAGGTGGTTTTGTATTTGTTACATTTCTCGGTTTATTATCTTTGCATAACAGATAGTTGTTTGCTGTTCTATCATTGTTCAAAATTTCAGAGATAGAAACTTTAAATTAGTGAAAAAGAAGAACAGCTGTACACCGTGAACAGTAGAAGAAGAGCTAACTTCCTTCTGTGTGGTACATATATATGTAGGTTTATAAATTCTTTGGTTTTTGGGGAACCAGCTGGACAACAATCTCACTTTAACAGCATAGTGTGGAAGGGCACTCTCATCCTCTGTCTGTTTGTAAATGCAAAGAAAGGCATCACATGGACCAACTAACACATACTAACATGCATAGTTGCCAAAGAAATGTGCATGGACTGTTCAGGTAGAAATTCTGGCATCCTTCAAACTTGTTGTAGAGACATATTTGTAGAAGTCGATAACGTAATAATGTCCGCTAACATAATAAATCTGCAGTTTTTAAAATGCAATGGGCCAATAACGTCATAAATGGCCGATAACATAATAAAAGTCCTGAACCAATCACGCAATATCTTTTGGCCAATAACATTATGATATTAGCCAAAAGATACTGCGTTATCGGTTCAGGACTTTTATTGCATTATTGGCCTATTACATTTTAAAAAGTGCAAATTTATTATGTTCTCAGACATTATTACGTTATCGGCTTCTACAGTATTTGAACAGAGCAGACTTCAAACCCCAGGCTGAGCAAAAAACATGCAAAGAGACGACTAATCAAACTGGCCGACCATCAAATTGAATTTCTGTTTTGGTTTTTTAAGGTAGAAAATCTTTACTAAAAACAGAATCTCGTGTGGCTACTGTGGAAAGACTCTACTTACACATTTTCCAATGAGTTTACTGAGAGGCTTCATGATGAAAGAGGACAGGAAGCCACTCAGGTACATCACCAGTGGGATTGTTGCAATGAATTTCTATTGGGGGGGGGGGAGGAGAAACAGAACGATCAAACGCTGAGCAAAAAGTTGGACATTATTAAAACTGTGGTCATTGTGGGAGGATGTGCAGGAAAACAGAGGGAGAGAGTTTCAGGAAAAAGCAGCATTTATGTGAAATATGACATGTGTGATACCTTGGGCAGCCCCAGAGTGTTGATGAGATACATTGAGATGTACGTCTGAGACAGATTGACTATTAGCCTGGTGGACATGTAGAGCAAAGCCACCTGTAGGGACACACAGGGACACACAGGAACACCCGTCAGCCTGAGAACACTTTGAATACAGTTCAGTGTTGTCGCTTCAAGGTGCTTCACAAAATGTGGCAACCGCTGAACTGTTGAAACAGGAACTGCAGAACACTTTTCCTGTCCCGGTCAAAGCAGCTGCAGGTAATTTGCACATCAGACTTCAATCTGATACCGACAGAGTGAGACGTGGTTTAACTCAACCTGGTAGAACGACGGCTGCTTCAGCCAACATTTCCACTGCAGAAAAGGCGTAGCGGGTGTAGAACGAGACAGCAGTGGCCTCCGCTCTCCCTCCGCCTCCTCTTCCTCCTCCTCCATCCTCTTCCTCCTCCTTCCCTCCTCGTCCCCAGCCTCCCCTTCGTATCCAGGCCTCCTCTCCGTGGTTCCCAGGTGGAAGAAGATGGAGAAGAGAGCGCCGATCCCCAGCACGATTAACGACAGGTTCTGTAATCAAACACAACGCAGCAAAGCACGTTTACTGGATGCTGGCAGAAGATGAGCTGCTCTTCCACTTCCTTCAAACTGTGTGAATACGGAGTGAGATTTAACTAAACAGCTGTCTTCTGATAAAAACACAAACACATGGTACTCTGCTTGTTCAGGGGGTTTTACAATCCGACCAGATTAATAAATAAATATGGTGCATTTTTCTTATTTTGTGCACATTTGAGAAGCGTTTTTTCCGTCTTCACCGGCCTGTGGAGCATCACAATGAGTGTGGTTACAGTTTCCACTACAGGAGAGAGAAATCTGATATTGTCCTTCATTCTCAAATAATAAAACTTTTACTAGTTGAACTATTTCCACTTGATCAGCTCGGATTTGCCTGAAATTTTATAGCACAAAATATAGAAATTTATAAAGATATTTGTGAAATTTTAGATTGATATATTAAGTATGTTTATCAATAAAACATTTTAAAAATTACCAGTCGACCCATTTAGAGCACATTTTGTTGCACATTGAACTTTGAGGCTGTTTGAGGGACAATATTTTCAGAAATATTAAAGACAGAAGCTTGAAATCTTCACTGTTGTTTCTCATTAAGCCACTAAATCAGAATCTGAGATACTGGAAAAGTAGGTTGAACAGTCTCCAATGATGGTTGAGTCTAAATATGAGGGAAAAAACTTAAGCCGTCATGAGAAGTCCCATCTTTGAGCGCAATTAACGAAATAATTGATGATCAAGTCAACTACTGATATTTTCTGAACCATGTCACAATAATACAACAAAAAAAACCATACAAAACACTTTTATTATGAAATACTTGGTTGCAAAAACGAGGGGAAAAAAGTTATTTGAGTTGAATTTTCATAACTGGCAAAAAAAGCTAAAATATTCCTAGACAGCCTGATCCAAGTCGAACAGAGTCCTGGAGTTTGAAAATGCTTCTTCATTGTTGCTTCTATCTAAAATGTCACAGATGCCCTTTCAAATATCTACAGTTTATGATTTTTAAAAAAAGTTTTAAGCAAATCAGAGATGCTCAGAAGCTCCATCACTGCAGCTGAATGCTCCTAAACATTGTGTCCTCACCCTGAAGATGGGGATGTCTATGGGTCCGAGCGCGTCACTGAGCGGGTCGTCGTCTCCTCCGGCCTGGAGGTGGAACAGCAGGTAAGCCACGGCATACACTGTGATGTTGGCGATCACTGTGAACGCATACCTGCTCACACACACACAGAGGAGAGAGTTCAGGACCTGCAGATTAACCTCCTGTGTTTACTATGAATGTGCAGAAGCGTACCTGTACGCTGTGAGCTCCACTTTAGCGTGTTGGCAGGTGACCAGCTCTGGAATCAGAGACAGGTGGGAGATCTGCGTGGCGGCCCAGCCAAACTGAAAAATGACGATGAACGGGACAAAGTAGATCAAACTGGCCCACTGAGGAGTGAAAGAGTCGCAGCCCAGACACTGGTTAAAGATGAAGGCGAAGGACAGTACCACGCTGAGAGTACCTGGATTACACAGGAGCAAACAGAGAACACAAGATACAAGACTTTAAAAATGCACCTTTCTTTCTTTCCTAATAACTTAGGGAATGCGACAAACTCAAGCATCTTCACTGCTGCACATCCAAGCAACACATCAAAATATCACATTACAGGAGTTAGGGGACAAGAAGTCTGCAAAGAAATGTTTAAAAAGTTCACTCAGTGTCCCTGGATGTGAAGATAAAAAAAGAATTAAAATCTTTAAATTGTCTTGGAATTTACAACAATGTCACTTCGAATGTAGGTAAGGACACCCGGGATCTTTCTGCGTGGAGTTTGCATGTTCTCCCCGTGCAGCGTGGGTTCTCTCCTGGTTCTCCAGCTTCCTCCCACACAGTCCAAAAACATGTTGAGGTTAATTGGTGATTCTAAATTGTCCGTAGGTGTGAATGTGAGTGTGCTTGGTTGTCTGTCTCTAAGTGTAGCCCTGTGATGGACTGGTGACCTGTCCAGGGTGTCTCCTGCCTTCGCCCTGAGTCAGCTGGGATAGACTCCAGCCCCCCATGACCCTAGTGAGGATTCAGCGGTGTATAGGTGATGGATGGATGGATGCTTAGCTGTGATGGGACCTTGTCATGAAGAATAATGTGGATCAATTGGGACAGCGTTTCCCAAGCTACTCCCACAAGCCTCTCAGATCGACACAAGGATCCGTTCATCAACACCAGCTCTCATGTTCAAAAGTGTTAAACTCACTTTAAATTTGCCCTTAATTGTTGAGTTAATATTTACTTGTGTAAAATTTGCTTTTGTCCAGTTGGATTGTCAGTGTTTAGATCAGTTTGGTCCTTTTGATTCAACAGTTTAAGCTCTATTTCTCAACATCTATCCTTTCAGCTGTGTCAACTGTTCATACATTCTGTTGGTTAACTATTTCAACTGCTCACCGTACTTTGAGCAAATAATTTACACATGCCTATTTCTAATTTTAACCCCTAATAGGGCACTCCTTGAGATATTTGGGAGTTTAAAATTTCACCCCTAGGCTGCTATTGGTGGGTATAAGAGGACATTTTTTCTTTTTGGACTTTTTAAAAGTTCTCAGATTTAGGCTGCAAATCAAAGTCAAAGCAGTTACCAGATATGATTCCTCGCCCACTGAGGGTAAAATAAAATTAAAAATCCAAACAGTATGTGGATAAATTATTGCTAAAAATACACATGTAAAGATGAAGTCACATTATTTCCAAATCACCAGTCAGACTTACAGAACTTATGACATGTGTGTCAAAATATCATCTGGCTGACTGGTGATTGGTCAGAGGCCGTAGTGACTGTGTTCTGATGTAGCCTGACCATCGTTGATTGGCTGGATGAAGTCATGTGATTCTGCCATTTTTAAAGCCTGTACAAGTTACCATATATTGCTGCTTCCCCAATAAAGGGCTTACTCACTATATCAACTCTTTGTCCTTTGTGTTTAGCGAACAAAGTCAATTGTTGTCATAGTAACCAGCTAATTAAAGCAATTATTTTCACTTTTACTTAACTGTTTCAGTCATTGATGCCGTCCCTGTGGCTGCCTAACTCCACTGCTTATCCATTACTTTCAGTTAGCTTTTCTTTGTACAAACCCGTTGAGGTCTACTCTTTTATTAAATTTCTGACTTTTCAGGTGATGTAAGCAAATTTCTCCATGTACCCCCTGACTCCTGAAGAAGTACACACTGGGCTACTTGCACCTCTGGTTGGAAATCACTTAAGTAAGATATAAAAGGTTTATATAAAGTCTTGCCCGTGGTCCTGCGGTTGTCAGGTTTCCATTAGGAACAATGGAGCACATCAGGGTCACGCTGTGTTCCACTGCAACAGGTTCTTGTAAAACAGTGATCTGGCCTGACCAGGATCAATAAAACTCAGGCTGAAGAGTTGAGTACGAGAGCAGAGTCCAGGCCGCAATTTCATAAAAACCGACATTTATGAGAACACCTACATAACGAACTGAAAAAAACAACGAAGACCAGCCTCACTGCAGTTATCCTCCTTTGCAAGAGACATCTAAACTATGACCTTACTCCAAATATATCCATAACAGTGTATAAACTAAACGTATATTGGAGATTATTGACAGGAAAATGCAGGATTGAAATATTAGTTCTGAACTGCTGTCAGCCTGATATAGTTTGTCCGTTGGAGAGCACTGATGAGTTGGTTTTTACACTGTAAAATGTCCCGATCCAGATTTCTCCGCTCAGTGAGCATCATCAGTAAATGTAATGAATACAAATCAAGATTCATCTATGTGAAGAAAATGACTTCTGGTCAATGTTTGTATCGACAGAACAAACATGGAAACCACAAAAATGTGCCATCTCCATCCCAACATTGGACGTGAACCTTTTTATCAGTTGACTATTTAAAAGATAGCTGTATGTGGATGACAAACTCTTTTACTTGATGCCAACCTGTTGAATGGTTGTATGTGGAACCAAAGGCTTGTCTTTCTTTCTGTCAAGTTATCTCACTCACCGACTAAATGCCACGTCTTCCTCTTGCCATAGTTCCCACAGCCGGGGGTTCGGTCGGACTCATAGCCGATCAGAGGCGTACAGATACCGTCGGCTATCTGCCCGACCAGCAGCAAAAAACCTGGAAGACAGAAACGCAGTCACAATTCAGTAATACTGTAATAATCACTGAGTGAGAACAGACAGAGAATGTACACGACGACGTAACACAACCACTGTGTGATTGTAGGCATCACAATCTCTGACTGTCAAACTTTACACGTCAACTATAAATGACATTGGAACTGATAAAAGCAACAGTAAAAAGGGCAAACACAACAGAAATAAGCTCTCAGAGACAAGATGCTTTCATCCTCCATAGTTGAGGTTGTTGTCAAAACCAGAAAAACTAAAGGCAGCCGATTCAGCTGCGTCACTCTGAGTTCATTTGAGGACAGCAAGAAAGAAATATCAGGAAGGATTGCTTTAATGATTAATGAGAAGATACAAGTCAGATCTGCATTTTTCTGATTATCAGTAAAGTTATCGTTTTCCCTTACACCAGTTCCTGAAAAACAATCTTGAAAAGAGCTACTTTGATGATGCAGCCACTTCTCTCAATCTGTGGTCGCAGCAACGTCCCTTCTACAGAACTGGTTACGCATCACAGACAACAGCCAATCAGCAGTGACAGATAAATGAGAAGTTCTCTATTAATTAAAATGATGTAAACCATAAAGAAACCAAAGCATTTCAACGAAGTTCTTTGTTCTAAATTTCCACACCAAGATTTTGTTAGTTACTACAAATGTATATCAGCTCCAAATATCAGTTATTACTCTTCTTGATGACTGAATAATCACATATCATATATGCCGGACAAATTAATCAGGCGGGCCAGCTCTGCAGTGGGCATGAAACTGGACTCCCTGGTGACAGTGGCAGAGAGGAGGACACTGAACAAACTGCTGGCCATCATGGATGATGCCAGCCACCCTCTGCACACTGTCATCATCGCCCAGAGGAGCCAGTTCAGCGACAGGAGGCTCCTCCCCAAGTGCAAAACCAACAGGACCAAAAACTCCTTTTTCCCTGAGGTACCCTACCAAGGGTATCAATAAAGTTCTATCTAATCTAATCTAATCTAATCTAATCTAATTTAATCTAATCTAATATCAGTCGACCACTATCAGCGAGTTCAGACTGAGAGCAATAGACTCAAAACCATCCATGAGCTCAAAGAATAAGAAAGCTGGTACTATCCATCCATCCATCCATCCATCCATCTTCTCCCGCTTATCCGGAGTCGGGTCGCGGAGGCAGCAGCCTTAGCAAAGCCGCCCAGACTTGTACTAAATATGGTGGTACTAAATATGCAAAAGAACTTGCAGAGAAAGAAACGTGGTATTTAACACGTTATAAGATCTGATGGTAGATAGATAAGAGAAAAGCAGGAGAACGCCAACAAGACTGCACTGAGGGAAGAGTGAAGGACAGAGGTGGAAACATCTGTTATATTCTATTTTTTTAACAGTGGTGTAGGTGAACTTGAATTTAGTGATGGAATCGTGATCAGAGGAGTTTTGGAACTTACAGAAATCAAGCAACAGAAGTGGATGTCTGAGCAGGATAATGATCTTAAACATACCAGCTGCCTGCACAAAGAATATTTTGCTCCGAAGAGAAAATCTAAGAGTGACATAAATCCTATGGAGCACTGATGGGATGGAGAAAATGATGTGAACTCGTCAGCGCTGTAACGTGGATGAGATTGAAGCTTAACAGATTCCCTGCACAGACGCTGTCAAGCAGTTCTGCAAATACATGGATGGGCGGACGAACAACCTCCTGCTGAAAACCAAAACCAAGGAACTGACTTTGGGAGAAGTCAGTGTTTCTATCACCTCAGACAGCTGAAGAAATTCAGAGTCTCAGAACATCACCCGGTAGTACGGGAACGACAAAACCCGCAGCCCGAAAGCCCCACAGAGGCTGCTGAGGTCACAACACAACACTCTTCACCCTCCAAGAGATCTACACAAGGAGGACCTTCAGGATAAACAGGGTGATGGAAGACCCCCAACACACCAGCAACAGGCTGTTTGAGTGACTGTCAATGGACTGTAACATCACAGCAGCACATCTCTAACATTAACAGCACATTGGATCAGTGTAAATAC